TAAATCATCAGGTATAACACCGTCATCGATGTTATCATTATCAATTAATTCATCATCTTCAAGAACGATCACATCGTCATTGAAAGATTCATTAACCGTATCATTCTCATCAACAGTATGTGTTTCGATTTCCTCTGGTAAGGGCCCTGTATCATTCTCGTCAACCGTATGCGTTTCGATTTCCTCCGATAAGAGACCTGTATCATTCTCGTCAACCGTATGTGTTTCAATTTCCTCTGGTAAGAGCCCTGTATCATTCTTGTCAAACTTATATACAGGCACTTCTGAAAGTTTTGTCTCCGTATCGATTTGTTCTTGTAACATTTTAGTTTCTTCTACTTGCTCAGATACATCACCTTTAAAATCACGCAAAAATGTTTCGTTACCCTGTTGTGGTTGCTGCTTTTCTTCTTCTTGCTGCCCACTTATCTTTTCAGTATATTTTAGCGAATCTGCTTCTAACAGATTAAAGAACTCAACATCCTCAGCCGAAGTAAGTTTATAATCCAATGTGACATCGTCTTCGATCAGAAGGTTGTCTGCGGTTTTAAACCAACTATCGTCGATTTCCTCGTTTACTACAGAGGCGGTCATTTCCTGAGGTTTGTTTACCGAAAGTAACTCCGACATCTAAAAGCGAAGAAAATTAGTAGAAAAAAATGAATATAATTAAAAAAAATACTTTTAGTAGTTTTGCTTCTCCAGACTTTAATCGAATATTATTATAAAAACTTGAGTGTGGTGTGCGATTCTTGTGATTCTTTCTAAATATTTATAAAGGTAACCAATCATACATTTTAAAAAAACATGATCGTCTGAACGTAACATTCATGGAAATACTTTGTGTGATTGGTTATTTTACTATTCATGAATCAAATAAATCAAACTGGTTATTGTTAGGTTGCAATCAAAAAAAAATCTATAGTAACTATGGTATTATTAACCGACTTAGTCGTCGACTAATTATCTGTTATTAACTTAGGGAAGTGCCGTTTATTACGTAATTCCAAGAGGGGAGGAAGGAGAATCACCTAGAAGGACCTAATGAAAAAAACATTACGTAATAAACGACACTCCCCTTACGTCGCGTAAACAATAACGACAAATATGTAGAAATATGCTGCATTTTTCAATTGTTTATAAATGTATTGACTACGTAACACTATTGCTATTAATATTATACTTCCAAACTTCTAAAAAATAATTGCTATTTATAAAAAATTAAATCAAACAAATAATTCTAAAATTTTACAAATATATTATCTATAGC